AAAAACTAACTAAGCATGAACTAAACCTAAAAAAATAGAAACTAAACAGGAAATTTAAATCTAAACTTACTCACGGTGGTTGAGCATTCAACCACGTACGGAGAGCACCCTCCCGAGGCACTGAATCATCGGCTCCATCCTGATGTGCACAGCCGCCAGCTTGGAAAAGTCATCCAACTTCTTTGCTGCCTTCACTGAATCCCTGGCCGCCATCACTGCATCCAATTGATTGGAACCAGTCCATAGGGAGAAATATGTGAAGAGAGAGAGAGATGATTGGACGGGCGAAGACGGGTGTAGAGAGAGGTTAATTAGATATTGCGCGTGACGGTGAGTATAGGGTGAGGCAAATAGAAAAAAACGTAGCCAACCACAAAAGAGACAAAAATGAGTATTCCAATATTTTATTTTAATTTTGTAATTTCATTTTAATTGAGTTCGTAACTTCTTTAATTATATGATAAAATATTAATTTTTTTGCAATCATTTAGAATTAATTTATAAATTTTTTAATTAATTTTGCATGACTAAAACATTAACACAAACCAGTTGTAGATAATTCTTAATAAATAAATAAATAAAAATAAAATAAACATTTTAGCTAGGTTGGTTGACTTGGGTTGGAAATAAATATAAGTTGAGTTAGACATGGCCAACTGTCGGGCCTGGCCGTGGTCGGCGGGACTCGACGGTTCATTGAACAGCCGGTTTTTTATTTAAAAAAAAATTCAACTACGACCCGCCTTCTGACCCAGAACCGGCGGGTCAAAAAAGAAAAATGGAGACTACGCCAAAAAAAGCTTCAGATAGCGCTTTTTTTTTGCCACAGATAGCGCTTTTAAGCGTTATCGGAATCAGTGTTATCTGAAGATCGATTCTTCAGATAGCGCTTAAAAAGAATTATGTGAAGGGCTCTTCACATAACACTTTTTTATAATAAGCGTTATGTGAAAAGCTGTCGCACCCCGCCTTACTAGCTTTAAAAATCAGAGTAAAATTTTTTTTTTTATTTTCGAAAGAACGTGCGAGCTTGGTTTTCGAAAATACTGACTTATTGCGGGATGTCACTGATAAAAACTTAACTTAACTTGCTCACAGACATATAATAAAACATGCAACCAAGCTATCCGCTCGCGGATTATGTAATTAAACATGCATAGTCTGTACTGTCTCGCACTGTCTAGAAAAACTCGCTGGCGGAAGTATCCAAAATACGAATACATAAACATGCATACATAAACTAATTAAATATACATGATCATAAACTAGGACATAAAAATGTGCGTAAAATATGTCAAACTCTCATGACCACGCTGCGCCACATCTGTGCTCATCCGGCACGCTCGACTCCGTCTCCTGAAAAACACAATGGGGGCGTGAGCAAACCACTATGCTCCGCAAAGACCAGTACTGACAAAACATCATCTATAATAACGTATCATGAACATAAATATATAAGAGTTGAAACTGTAAACTGATCTCTGATTTCTATTCTGATCTGTGGACAAAAGACCCTCGACCTTGGCCGCTCGTGTGCACACGCCGATGGGGTATAAAGGCCTCGGCCCCCCAACAGTCATCAGGTGGGATATTTAAGCCCTCAGGTCGGCCCCCAACCCGGAACTAGACTGTCTCAAACATACCTCAGCCATGGTACAGATATTATATATGATGTGACATCCAGTACATGACCCCCACCTGAAAACTTGGAATCTGATGCAAGTGCTGAACTGGAGTAGCGGTCGGAGGCTCGACTCTCCTTAGGCTACATAAATTTTAAAGCAAAATAATGCTAAGTATAATGCTTGGAATAATTAATTATATGCTAAAATGCTCGGACTTATCTACGCGATTAAACTGGACTGGACTGGCTCGGAAAAATACTAAAATTCAGAAAATAGACTCGGACCGGAAGTCACGAATCAAAACTGACTCGAACCGCCGGTCGAACCGGTCGGTTCGCTGACTGGCCGGACCGCCGGCTCGGCTGAACCGGGCGGTCGGGCATTGGCTCGGGCTGGACCGGGCTCGGCCCCGCGCCGGGCCTGCTTGATGAAGGATCGTGTGTTTTTCCAACTTGTTTGTCTCGAACTAAGCTTTGCCACGGCTTATCCTTCGACGATAGGTGTGGACGACTCGGTTATTAGCCTTGTCTTCTCACGATTTTGAGATGGTTCGGGTCTTAGCCTAGCCAACTCGATTGTATGATAAAACTCTCACGAATTCTAAACACACGGTTTTGTTCTCACGAACGATTTTCTATTACTTTTCCATCATAAATTTCGAATGACATATGTGGGTATTTATAGATACCAAATAGATCTAATCCTAGTCTAAGAAGAACTCCTAATGCAAGTAAACAAATAAAGTCCTAAGGAAAGTAAATAAAGACTTACCAAACTAATAAACACCTAATAGGATGCTAATAGGCTCATGCCTTTTATTTGAACTTCTAACGAAATCAAAACTCCTAATTATGCTAAGTAAATCACGTCCTAATTCTCTTGCTTGCCCNGCGGGGCCGGGCACTGCCGCGCTGTATGCGTGGCCAGTGACCAAGGCCGGCCCTTGCCGGACCTCCGGTGACCATTTCCGGCAACATGCATATCATATGCTCTCAACATGATAAAATAGTCATAAAAATGCTATGAAACACTAGTGGACCCCGGGTCCATGTGCATGATACTCGTTAGGGCTTATATAGCACGTACGAGCACTTAACTTCCGATCCAACTAAAAATTCTCAAACTATTGATGATGGCCGAATGTTTAACATGTTAAATCATTGCTATAGAGGCTAAAACATGTGGCACATCTTGCATGAAATGAACTAGGGTTCGGGTGCCCATTTTAACATACTTTCGAGCATGATTTGACTAAGTTAATGAACTCCAATTCTATTCAAACTTTTACATCATCAATGGCATGATATTTGAGAGTGATTTAACTAACATTTTCGACTTTTTCATGCATGCAACCAAATTTCATTTTTAAGGTCGTTTAATTTAAAAATTCGTAACTCTTCATTTTCAACGTGCATGGCTCGGTTTCTCCTCATGAAAAATCATATTATATCATAAAATGGCTAAACAACTCAAGAGGCACGAGCTTACCTCGGTTAGAAATGGAGAAAGGAAGTTAGGGCTCAAATGGTGGGTGAATTCGACTTTGCGGGTTGAAGTGGACTTGTAGTGTGATTTGGCTGGACTTGGACAACTCCAAAGACTTAGAAAAATCTAAGGAATACTTAGAAATTGCTAAGCCTCGAGAGTTATTGGCTGGAATGGGCTGAAGTGCAGTGGTGGCTCTCCCTGGGTCGCGCGCGCGGGCACAGGGCTGCTGGCCTTAGTCTCGGGCTTGCTATCTCTCCCTCACTATATGCTCGAGATTCTAAGTGTCAAAGGGCTTATAAGGGACTGAGGAACAGCCCTTATATACTGTTTTGGGGTGGAGCTTGCTATGCTACTCATGGGAGACCAAATAAGTGGAAAAAGCCACATCATTTGCATGGGAACTTGAGAGGGGGATGGGGCATAGACTTGCACGTTTTTGGAGGGTCAAAAGGTGGGCTTTCAGAGCACTATGGGTAGAGAATATGCTTAGGTCAGTCTTGGTTAAAGTCTAGGGGACAAAAGCATGCATTTTGAATAAACAATTCAATTGCCCATACTCCACTTTGGCATGCCCATATGGTTGACTTAATTAGCACTTACTTACGGCTAATTAACCTGAATCAAACCCTCATTAACTCCTTAATATTCGCATGGTAACTGGGCTGGAAGATATGGGCCAAAACTCCAAGGATTGGGCTCGGAATGGGGGCCTGTCTCGCTGCCGCTGGGCCTGGCGCTGGGCTGCGCGAGGACGGGCTGGACCGCGCGGTAGATGGCCTGCGCGTGTGTGTGGACCTTGGACCGAACCTAAGGGCTTCTCTTGGTATCCCAACACTTAGAAATATTTCCAAAATGCTACTAAGGCTTTAGGCAATGTCTTGGGCGAGGTTATCAAGTGTTTGGGCGCGACTAAGGCGCGGCTCGGGGCTCGGGCGCGAGTCTCGACTAGGGCTTGGTTCTAACATGCTCAAGACTTGAACTTTGGTATTTCTATACACTAAGAAAATTATTGTAAGTATAAAAATACCAATATTTAGCTAGGCTCGAAATTTACTAAAAAATTAACTCGGAACCAAACTAGGGTTCGGAGTCGATAATTTCTGGAGTTGATTTGCTATATCTTATCAATCCAAATTAATGGATTAATCTTAACCTTATCTTGATATAGAAAATTCCAAAGGAATAATCTATTATTTTTGAGCATTTAGCATATATAAATATAACTGGACTTTCTGAAAATTACGGATTTCACTTATAGTCGAGCAGTGAAACCGTTCTTACTATTATTACTGATTTGGGGCATTACAAAAGCCCTTCACATAACGCTTTTTTATGCTAAGCGTTATGTGAAGAGTTCTTCACGTAACGCTTTTTGTGATAAGCGTTATCTGAAGAGGCACTCACATAACGCTTTTTATACTAAGCGTTATGTGATGGGTTTTTCACATAACGCAAGTGTTATCTATAATATTAATCAGATAACATTTTTTTAACAAAAGTGCTATCTGAGATAATGATATACATAACACTTTTTTAAACAAGCGTTATCCGTCTCATTGGAGACGGATCCAATGAGACCACTCCTTACAATGAGTACATGAGACTCAATCTTAGCCACTCATTTTGTCTAGATTAAAATCAATTAAAATATACATTAATTAAATAATAAAATAATTATTAGTTGACTCTGGCGTTGACCGTTGACTCCGGCATTGACCGTTGACTTTCGACGTTGACCGTTGACTTCTGGCGTTGACCCGTTGATGACTAACCTAGCAGCAAGAAATAAATAACCTAGCAACAAAAGACAACTAACCTAGTAGCAAGAAAGAAATAACCTAGCAATAAAATACAACTAACCTAGCAGCAAGAATGAAATAACCTAGCAACAAAAGAAAACTAACCTAGCAGCAAGAAAGAACTAACCTAGCAACAAAAGACGCTTTGGGCTCAGGGACATTGTTACAGCGTTCTCATACAAGCTGTGGTGGCGCTTCAGGGAAGGAAAGTCGCTTTGGGCTCAGTACCATCGCGGCAAGTACTGCCCTAGACGTGCCAACCACCCTTGTTGGGTCACGGCTGTTGATCGTGATAGCAGAC